CTGTTAAGGCACTAATAAAAGTTTAGTATATATAATAAAAAAAAAATTAATCTCTTGAGATTAGATGTTTTACACGTAACATCAATAAACATTTCTGGTTACATGGATAAAATAAATTTGCAGATAAAAATAAATAATAATAATAAATAAACATTTAGCCCTTATTTAGCCCAATATTTTATAATATAATGTTACAATTATTTAACAGATAAACTTTTACGCATAATCCCAATTAACAATACATAATACACTGACCATACGCGAGAATTTGTAAAGATGTCTCAGTATTTTGATAATAGGATACCTTTCATTCAATCAAATTTGAATGGCCGAATACATTTGAATTAATGGGATTTGTTTCACAAATAGACCATATTAGGCTACTTTTTATAAATATAAAGTCACGTGACAAAACCACAGGATACAACGAGTAATTTGTAATTGAAGACGACAATTTTTTTATCATCTGATTTCTTAAATTGTCTTTACTTAAGTCGAAATAAGTATAGGATATATATATATATATATATCGCAGTTTCGTGCAAGTGGATCGATTTGACTTTATGGTGGTCGACTTACTCGCCTAATGGACTTCGAGATTTTAATGCTACACCGGAAGCCATTAATTTGTCGAAACTTTTACTTTCAGATAAAATACGCTTTCATTAAGAACCCTTTAATATCTTTATTGTTACTAATAATTAATTTTTTTTTTATAAAACTCCATCATCCAATAATCTAAAAGCTGATAACCCACCTGATGAAAAGTGACTGCTGACGCTTATAAATATGAACAGCTCCATGGTTATCACAGAATATACTGTGACGCTCACGATACATTTCTGAGGACTACGTGACCTTCCATATAATGTAACCTAGTCCTATCCTAATAGAATATCAAGAACTCTTTGTAGGTGTTATGTTTTAAATATACTTACCTTGCTGTTCACAAAAAAGTACCTTATAATCGTTGTAGTAGTAACTATAATGATTAGAGGTTATCGTAGAATATTGATACTTTCCACAGGGATTGTAATATTGCATCAAAAATATGAAACATCCATATTGTGCCTATTAAAGTCGTGTATTTTTGTTCATAAGGCGCTTAACATACTCACCGCACCGCTGTGTCCAAGTACTCAGTTTTTGAATATTATACTACAAATACATCAACCGTACATAACCCGCACCGCTGCCCGTCGCAGCTGCACGTATATGTGACTAATGACTGGCTATACTCGTAAAAAAAGTTTATATAATTAGGTTTTATGCACTTATAATTATTAGAAATAAGCGTGAACGTCATCTTTTGTCGCAGTAATATCATAGTAGGCAATTAAACATATAATATATAATACAGTGCTAAAATTACTGACATTGAATACCCATCTCACATAATATAACTTTAAAATATCTGATAGAATGTCTGCTTGTCCATTAATGTCAAAAGTTTCAACAGTTCAAATAGCGAGGTTGAACAAAATTTTCTTATTACGAAACGTGTCAACTTGTTTTAGACAGACACAGACAGCCTAGGTAGATTTAAAATAAGTCAAAATATCATGGTATTACATTAAAATATCTAATTATAGATTATTTTTTAACCAAATTAAAAATGCAGGAGATTCTTTAATCCATTATACCAGAGGGAGACTTTGTAAAAAAGTCGATTGCTTGGGTGAAGCAGTTGTGTTTACATGGCTGTGTTTCGGTTTAAAGGGTGGGATATGGCGTGAATTTACAGGGTACAGAGGAATAACACCTGAGTCCTCAGGAATGGCAACGCATGGGGGGTATCATGGGGGAAACAATATACTCTGTTATGTCCATGGTACTGATCATGTCTATAGGCGACGGTTACCACTTTCCATCAGGTGGGCCGTCAGCTTGTTTGCCATTCTAAGTTGTAAAAAAAAATCCATTGCCTTTCGATTCTGCTTTCATTAGAATGGATCATTAAAAGATCACTGTAGATTTTATGAGTAAGTTTGTTAAAATTTTATTTGATTTTATTGTTGTAGAATACAACATAAATTATTTTTATAAAGTGACACATATTCCATAAGAGACTTGCGTAAATAAGTTAATATTGAACGCATAATTGTCTAAGTATTTATTGCTTCATAATAAACAGTATTTCGCAACGAAAAATAAATTTAAAGATTATAAAATTAACCAATAAAAGAGTGATCGCTATCGACTACAAAATCCATTCATAATTATTGTTTTAAATTAAAAATTGTCTTTTTACATAATATTAAATGTTGAAATATAGTATTTCAATGCATTTAGAATTAATATATGAGTTTTTATTATTTATAATTTTTGAATAAATGAATAATAAATATAGCTACCAAAATATAACAGACGAATTGAGAGTCGCCTCCTTTTGGAATTCATTTAAAAAAACGACGTGGAATATAATTCTAAAAAAGTGAGTCGGTGGGCTGTTAGCGATTACTGTTGTTGAAATGAAAATAATATATTTTCGCACATTACGTCAAGCAAATTGGAAATGACATTTCAGATTCTTTAAATTCTCTAATGGAGTACCGTAATCATAGCAGTTAGAAATATAAAATCGACTTGTATTAGTATCAAATTTACAATCTTGAGTAGGTGTAATATGCCAATAGGTGACAACGCATCCAATTTAACTTCTTATTTTACAATAGATAACAGAAAAATGATTTTATGATATATCTATAATATTTTTTTGTTTACTTAGTTATATTTAGCAAATTCTTTTTCTTTATCAATAATAAAAAAAAAAGCGATTTGGGGAAGAAATCAAAAATCTCCTGAAATAGCATTAATAAATGAGAAACAGTAAAATATGTATGGTAGTCAATATTCGATTCGCCGTATGGTCCTAGCATAGTGGACCATATCTTTCTTTCCAGAAATAGAAAGATCAACTAAATAGAGTACTATTTCTAGATGGCGTATTAAGATCAGATATACATCAGTTTTTAAGTTAAAATTTCAGGAATACAACTGTGAAAATCGCATTCAATTTCGTGCAGTAGTTTCTGCGTGATGCCGAATAAACCTATAGATAGACAGATAAAATTTCTAAAAACTATTGTTTTAGCTTCTATTGCTCTTACTAAGATCCCTTATATCAAGTAAGATAAGCCCCTTATTCACGTGACTGCATCCTATGTTGCTATTATTCACAACTCCCATTTTCATTCGAGCTTTAATTAGTCCATCAGATAATTTAGTTTGCGCAGCGCTCGTTACGCTTCCAAGTGGACCGGCTAATACAGTCGGAGCCTATAATCTCATTACACGATGAGACAAACACAAATTAGTTGCGTACCTTGTGACAGAACTTACTTAAATGATAAACTAATTCGAGAGAAAAATTTAATTAGGCTAAACTTGCAAACAAATTCTGTAGAATAACACAAATTAAACAGCTTCCTGCTCATGTTTTGTTCTACAAATAAATGCTTACTAGTATGAATACTTTGTCGTTATTCTTTACTTTAAATAATTATTTATTTTAATTATATGTTTATGTAACTTACCGTTGTTAAATAACTTCAAAACGAAATTCTCAATTCGCCTTATTTTTTCTTTGTATATGTTACCCGATATTCTGATTATATTGTTTCTGTTTCTTTCTAAATATGTCTCTTGTTGGTTTCACAATATTTTTTTCGAGATGGAATAATGTTTCAAAATAATTTTGAAAAAAAAGATCATACCTCTTTAGTTCCAAACAACATCACCGTATGAGATTTGTGATATAATGTCCATAGCCATAGGTTGTTCAGGTTTATAGGTGAGAATTACCATTTTCAGGTAGCGTTACGTTTAAAAATATAACAGAATCAAAGGGTGATAGTTTTATCCTTATCACATTGGTACATTTTCTTCTTTCTATAACCAAGGTAACATCAATTGATTTTAGAGTTAATTGATTCACTGACTTGATATTAATCAGATTAGAACACATTACCTAAATCTTGCGAGTTAAAATACGGAATCAGAGAGATCACAATGTTATCAAAAATTGTATTATTATATTTCTGAATTTAAATTAATGAAAAAGTATGCAAATGTATATCGCTTTCGTATCCCGCCGCATAACGAGCCTGCGAATTGACCCCATTTCTTTTAAGCAAAATAAAAATATTTCAGTGTCGCGAGCCGAGTTTCTTTTTCGCATTAGTCTCTTTTATGTCTCCCTCGTAATTACATGAACCGATCTACTTACTTTTGAAGGAGTGGAAAAATACCTGTCGTATTTTAATACATAGACATACATTTTCTCATTTTAAACGACTTCCAAAAGACGCAGGTTCTCAATTCGGTTGTATTTTTTTATAAACCAATTCGTTAAACTCTCTTTTTATCCAAAAGAATACACTTTTAGATTTATTCCATAGAAATCTTATCTATATCTATTCACTAATTTAGATTTTAAGTCTAGTTTTGCTACAATTATAGTCGGGTGTTTTATGTGGAACGCAATGTTAAATTATTGGCTTGGATTACGTTGTCAATTTTTAACTGCTTTGGTTATTCTTTTTGAATGTGATATAATTCACTCACGTGAAACGAACACCATTTCTTTCCATTAGAGGAGTCGCCAACTTATTTTCTATTATAAGTTAGATTTAAACATTTATAATATATTGAATTCTATTGACTGTAATATCATTTAGTACCTACATAATTTATTTGAAATGCTCTTTTGCATATTCAATCAATTCTAAATCATATTTTCTTCAAAGGTATTTTGTAAATCGACTCTCTGCCAAAATAACCGGCTTCAAAATTAGCTTATTGTAATCTGTTAAATTGAGAAGCATGTAGCTATAAATAATTTCACGCACAGCTACATGGAATCTGTAATAAATTTACACCAGCGTTAAATTGTTTTCCATTATATTAAAATCTGTACAAATTTAATATCCCGCAAATTTTAAAAGATTGACATATTTCTATTTATGTACGGAAATAATAAAAGAACATGATTATTTTTAGAAATGACTTTAATTTTCCGTTTACCTGGAAATAATTACAGACTTTAAAAATCCTAATCGATAATTTATATACAACCACTATTAGATACATCATTACCGTTTTTTTTTTATACACAAAAGGAAAATCATTTTATCTAAGTTTAGTTATACAGTTCGTGAACGCTTATCTACTATTTTTACAACCTATATCACATTTTCTTCTTATATCTAGAATGTTTAATAGATAAGTTAATATTACTCACATAAAATTAGACATTACTGTTCTGTAGCGATTTGAGAATTTACACAATTGATTTTTTTTTCTTTAAATCACAAACTTAGATCAAGTTCCATATCAAAGTAGGTAGAGTTAGAACACTTACCACTCATTTCACTAACACACTTTTAATATGATTTATATTGTACCTTAAAATCGTATTGTCAAGCAATTATGTACATAAGATATGTTAGTTGGTGGGATAACCTTCGTGAGACTTGTTTATATTTCTTTATCGGAATCTAAAACTTGTTTTGGAACCAATATGTAGATTGTTCATATTCTTTATATGTAGGTACTATAGGCTATAATCAATGAGATACAAACAAAGCTAAAAAATGTGTTTTTAACAGTCCATTTTTAAGTTCGTCAATTTCTACGGATTTGACCAAAAATGTTAGGCAGGCACTTTTGCCAAATTCAGTCTTCATTCTAATGTTAAAATAATCAAGTATTTTTTTTCTTCGGAAAACGTCCGAATTACACAAATTGCTATACAGTTGTTTCTAGAAGATCGGGAGAGGGTCAACAGAAACCATCTTTAAGATCAGGGTAACCCAAGTCGGGCATAGCTCTACGAGAACCATTACCTCTAGAATTTTCAAATCTCGCACCTCGACCTGCTCGACCTAAGCTAGCATATCTAGTATCTGCGAGTTTATCCCTTTGTGCTACCTCATCGTAGTATCTTGCATCGTTCAAACCAGCACTATACTTTTGGCTTAAACTGTACTTATCTATTGTTGCATACTTTTGTACTGTGGCGTACTGCTGAGATGGTTCGGGTACACCATTGGCTTTAGCACGATCAAAAGGCCTTTCTTCTGGAGGCAATGCACCATCTAATCTTGCCTTAAACTCTTTATCTTTTCTTCGACGCCTTCGACATGCACATAGAGCTACTGTCACAGCGCAAATAAGAAGACCAACACCTGCAGCTGCTGCCACATATGGCGGCGGCAAAGATATCCTAAATGAGCAATTAGAATCGTCTTCATCATAGCCTGAAGGGCAGTGAGCACTTCCATCACACCACAATGCCAGAGGTATGCAAGCATTCAGTTCAGGACAGCTAGAAAAAAGGAAACATATTATAAAAAATGTAAATTTATCAGCAAACAATGTGTTAAATAGCCTTATTTTTTTTACAAAATGGTAATAGATTACATATACATACCTATATCGACATTCAAGTGATATTGATGATGGCAGGAGATTGGATTCTGGATCTGGCTCAAAGACTGGTTTCTTCATCAATTCTATCCACTTAATCGAGTAATCCGCTTGTTCATGTTGCAAGAAATCTATAACATAGCTCCTAGCATGGGGTTTCAATGATGATTCTAGAGGTGCTTGTGATGATTTCCATCCAGGTGAAAATAATTCTATAAAGTTAACGGTATCAGGACAGATTTCTCGTACTCGAGAAGTATCTCTGGCTTCATAAATAAATAATCTATTAGGGGTAGAACAGAATGGTGATGTTGATGTCACATCATATCCAGGAATTTTCACGTACAGATATCTACCTTGTATTGGGTCAACTTCATCACCTCCTGGCTCTATGAGCCACGGTCTATGAACGCAAGCAACTTCAGCTCTAACGCTTTCTGATATTACGTTTCTATCACCAACAATTTCTGGAGCAATTGAAATTTGTCTTTTGTCGAAAAGTCGGATTTCTCCACTACTTCCTCTAAGTCGTCTTTCACCCCAACCAGAAGAACAGACAGTTTCATCACCGGGTCCAGTAGGAATAAATTTATATTCACCTTCAAAAGCAAAGTCATCATAATCTTCGGTTATATTCATCATAGTTACTGTGAAATTAACTTCAACAACTGGAGCAGTGAGAGTATGTATATTTATAGGTTCAGATCGATTTGTACAAAGACAGTCTCTCCGTATAGGCACCCCTTCCCATGGAATTTCAGTAATGATAATTTGAGCAAGTCCTTCACCTCCTATAGTTCTTTTTGAAGGCCTGTCACATTCCCAGCGACCAGTTCGTGGATCTTTATGTGTATTACAATATTTATTTCCAAAATAAGTACTCGTGAAAGTAAGTTGAATTCTTTCGCCTTGCTTTGCTTCAAATCTGTAGAAAAAAAAAAGTATTCAGTGCCCAAAATAATATTAACATAAAAGGATATTTAAAAGAAAATAAAATTTTATTCATACCTTAAGATGCAAGTAATATTCTGTGCACCACCTCGTCCATAATAGAATATTGCTCTGGGAGCTTGGAACCTTCCTGAGTAAGTTTGAGCAGATTTGAAAACTCTGTCGCAGGCTGATTGAGAGTCGACTAATGGCTGTCCTTGCTCGCTTACGTCAACAAATTCGTAGCGAAGTAAAAAAGATACAGGATATAGTGCTGAGCCTTGTCGAAGTTCCTGTTGATGAAAATGTATAATATAGGTTATAAATTAATTAATCTTTTGCTGAATGAAACATTATCAATTTAATAAAATGTTAAAGATTAAAATTATTATAATAAAATATGTTTAATTTAGTAGGCAGAGAATTTTTTTTAATGATGTTGATTATTACTAAAATTTTCTTTTTTACATAGTAAAATACAAAAGTTGAATCTTATTATGATTTAAAATTATGATAAAGTAATTTTAATAAAGAAATGTATTACATTCCTTTGTATGAAGGTGTATCAACACATTCTTGTAATATAAGAAGAAAATACCAGTAATATTTCGAATACCGTTTAGGATAGACTTTAATATAATTAGTGTTACGCTAGAGGATAGAATTGGAGAACTTCTTCCAATTCAGTTAATTCGATATCATCCATCCTCTGATAAAATATTCTTTACTGATTAATAAATTTGTTTTTAATTAGTATCGAGCTGTTGAAATCAAATCTGATTTCCCAATATTAACAAAATTAATAACTAAATAAAAAAAATAATGTATCCGTCACGATATTGAATAATGATCTCATTTTCTTATACTATTTGCAGTTAAAGCAAATACAACTTTGACATATGGAAGAGTTTCATTCAGTACCACTCCGTTTCGCTACAACACTAAAGCATTCCATCACATAAGGATAGAGTGGCTTTCGCACGTGTCTCTTGCATTATTCACTATGGCAAATGCAACTGTGCGCGTGACTTATCTATCCGGAGCGCGATGAATGTTTCACCGGGGCAGAAAAGTTTCGAGTGTATCTAACAATGATATAAATAAAGGCTAGATGAGACCGACCTTATTATTAATTTATACATTTCGCACGTGTTACTTGCTTTATTCACTAAGGCAAATGCAACTGTGTGTATAAGTTAAAAGAGTATATTCGGAATACTGTATTTTATGATATTTTATAGAAACAGAAAATTTAGAGTGGAGACTTTATGATTAATTTAAAAAAAATATGCAATAGGTACAATTATTATATGCTTCTGGAAATGGTAAACAATTTTCTACTCACTTGATGTTAGAATATGATCATGTTCGGATTTTACAGAATATATCGTGGATCAGTGATAACCCTTATGTTGCTATATCTGCAAAGCAGATGTTAAGCGTCTGTACCCTTTAACTTCTCTACCATATCCGACACTTCAAAGAAAAACTGTCTCGCAAGAATAAACGGTGGGAGAAACACGAATGCGAAAGACGTACCAACATACGCGGATAATGAAAGTCTCTGTTTCCTTATTCTCTTTATTTCGGCTGCAAATAGTCAGAAAATGTGAAATGAATTTCTTACCAGGTTTTTTTCTAGTATATAATATGACGCTTTTTATTATTATTAGGAAATAAGTAAAAAAATTTGTTCCACATCTAGAAAGTGTACATCTACGTATTAGATACTACACACAAATTCTATGCACCTACGTTACCGCGTCATCCTACTTGGTGCATATAAAAAAATCTGGTGATAGATGGAGCAGCGTTTGTCAAAGTTAATTAAAACTATGTTAGATATTCTTTATTGTTTCTTCCAAAAGGTTACAGTAGTAATCAAACAATTATAAAAAAAGATCACACTGCAAAACAGTTATGACTGTAGTTTATAACAATGTCTATTCAAACCTACTATATAACAGTAGTGTTATTTTTCTTTTTAATAAGTGACTGACAAAATATACCTAAATATACGTTTATTTTATTTTGAATCCGTAAAAATTTTGTTTTTGTTTTTATGGTTGATCGTAGTCTTAAAATAGACACTCAATATTTAACTACAGACAGCAGATCTCTATTTTTAATGAATTATTTTTATAATAAATAATATTAAACATTAATTTAACTAACCTGTAGGATAGTTAAAGCTGGCCCGGTAGTGATATAACTCTCTGACGGTGCACATGGTCTGGTCGCCCTTGTTGCATTCGATAACAAAGCGTGGTCGCATAATCTTGGCGATTCTTCGCGACAAAACGATCCGAGAAGCGATTTTTTGTCGCTCATGTCCAACTAAAGGAAAAAAAAAATATTAATTCAATATTATTTTATGTTAACGTAAAAATATGAATTATTTTTTATGATATTACCAAGTTCTTTTAAAATGGACATCTGAATTTTTAGTAATGTTATATGCTTTTGAAGAAAAAATTGTAGTATGACTTGAAATTGTATAAAGTTATAAAGAGAGATCGCTAGTAATGGAAATTTGACCTAACAGATACGGAAATAATTGGCCATATTCGTGGATCATGATGTCTCTGTGATCACTAAGGATGGTACAACCACATGTCATGCTATAATAAAAAAAAAAATTGCTGTGTGCGGTCGCTTCCGGAAACTATTATAGATATTTATCACAACATATTTTGAATTCATCACAACAGACTAACTAGTCTGGCTTCATCTTTGCCTGTCGTCGCTTACTGGTACCAAAATCAATAAAAAGCGCAAGCTTGATTATCATTGAATAAGTTTAATATATATTTAGCATTAAAAAAAGAAAAATAAACGAAGCAAATAATGCACATGTAGACTTCAATATTTATACTTAACTACATGGGAGTATAAACATAATCATAGATAATTATACAGAAAGACAGTAAAATCATACCATAATGACATACTTTGAAGGCCGAATGATTTAAAAGGCCGAGAATAGCATAACCGCTCATCTATTCATAATGCAAACTAAGGAATTCCGAATGAATGAAACGAAACACCGCACTGCAGTCGGTCGAAAACTCTTACCGAGTGCTCAGGCACATTAAAGAAAATTAATGTTTGGCTGCCACCGTCAAGTGGGAGGTGAGGTAGACGGGTAGTTGGCAAAGTGAAATGGCACGAATAAAAGCACCCAGAATGCCACCCAATTTTATATCGCTTCTATATTTGTATCTTGTAATAAAGACTAAACTTATTACTTGTTATATGAGAAAGGCAGTCTTCCCGCGCATTACGCGTTGCTTAATTTTACAAGGGTATGTGACAGAAGTAACTATTTCAGTCAAAAATGCCACAAAAGATTAATAAATTCATAATCATTTAATTTAATATTGTAATCTACAAGAAACACTAACTTCAATTGTAGTAAAATCAGACATTTTTATTTAAAAATTATATAACTGAACCGATTTTGATTCAAAATAGAATTTGATAATAAGGTACACATATTTTACTGCTACTACAACTACGATAAAAATTGACTCCTTTTGAAATGTGTGATCAAGAAAAATATTAGGTAATTGTGATAAACGACCCAATTAGCTAAAAACAATATTTCGCTTATTCAATACTCGCAAAATCACCCCAAGATTAATAGAAATTACACGAATTTCTAATCTTTTTATTATATTAATTAATTCAATTTAAGTTATAACAACGTCTTTCATGTAATTTATTTTGCATTTTTTATTAAAAATATAAATTGCAAACAATTTGTAATTGCAAAGTATTATAAATTGTAAATAATTTCTATTTAATTTTGAATTACTGAAATTAACTACCTATCCAAATATATGCATTGCTTAATATCCTTATTGAAATAAATATTTTTATTGTTTAAAGATACGTAAGCACACATTATATATTAATGTAATAACTATCGGTTTAACTTAGTGTAATTTGATCGAGAAAGCTCGACAAAGTCATTAGTGGCTCTACTTAGGCACTAAGAATCAAGAATTGATCCCGAAACTAGTTGAGATTTCTCGATATATTTACACGTAAGATATACCGGTAGCACATTAAAATAGAAATAAGGATTGTTTAATTCACTATACGGGGCTTTTACGATAATTATTTATATTACAGCTTTCCAGTTAGCATGCTGCAGCTCAAAATTCATACTAAGTACTAGTAAGTAATCTTATATTAATATAAAATACATAATATAAAAAAACTTAAAATACTTAACTTAAAATAATTTACTAGTGGAAAAACAACACAAATTTATATATAAAATATATAAACAAAGTATCGTTTCTGCAAACAGATTTACAAATTGTTCATGATTATAGCACTTACTTACATTCCTATAAAAGAAATACATCGATTGGAACAGTTGTGTTTACTTCCTTAGTCTTAGAAATGGGGAAAGTTTTGCTCCCGGCCCTACAAATGCAAGTTAATCCTCATTTCATTACACTGTAAGCTCGCTGGAATTTTTGTCGTTTGAAATCGCTCAGTGTAAAATTTTATGCAAATGGCCCCCGAACCGTGCGATAGTAACAGTTTTGGATTTTATGAAATTGAACGTGACGGGGATTCACGGAGTCGAAGTTTGAATTAAATTTAAGTATCGCGATAAACTAAATAAGTGGAAATGTTGCCAGAATCCAAATCTTTAAAATAATAAGATGGCTGGTAAATTTGTGCAGTCATATTTTGTGAATTTACAGGATTTGTGATTTACAGGATTATCCGAAACAAATAATAGCCATAAAACCACTAATGTTGAAACTGGTTTTTATCCGTGACTTTCCATGCGTGACAAAGTTAACAATATAGATAGCACGCGATAAAAAGTAGCCTACGTTCTTTTCCATCCCAAATACTACATACTTATATGCCTAATTACATGACGATTTATTAGTTAACCTTCACATTTACAGTATTATTAAGAATTAAATAAAATATTATATTTTTAATAAGTTAACACTGAGTTATTTAGTTTTTAATTTTTTTTAATGGTTTTCTTAATCAACGGCTTTAAAAGTAATAAGGATTCATAAACAATAATTTGTTTAAAATAAAACCCAGAGAATCTAATTGTATATATTGATAGTACCTACTTATGACAATAGATAAACTAAAATTATGAATAAATAATTACAAAAAGTACCAAATAGGCATTAATATTTTATCGTAATTAATAAAGAAATAAATTATTAAATCCATTTTGTATTACGCTTTGTTGGCAAAAACTTTTATAGGTTCATATTTCATAACCAAACACAATTTTTCTCAATAATAAATTTTCTATAAATAATAATAGTAATATTTGTACTAATTAAAAAATTAACAGCCTAAAATTATATTAATAGATACACTGATTTATTGTTTAATAATGTCATGTGCATATTGGTCGATTTTTTTATTATTGTTTTAACACGTTGTCACACGCATCACATCAAAAGTTTATGAACTTAACTGAAATATTTACTTTACATTAGTGACTACTTAATAAGCAAAACAAAGAAAAAATTATAGACAATACAACATTACAGTAAAAAGAAAAAAAAAACGGTCATAATAGTTTCCGAAGACTGAAGCAAAAATTTAATAACAATATAATATCAAACCTTCCTGTCAAGGTCCGCGTCAGGTGCGGCTCCGTCCCATATAGTGAGCTGAGACGAACAGTCCTTCTGCTGATCAAACCCAGCGGGTTCCGTACCCGCTGAATGGTATTTCACGAAAGATACCCACACTATTTCATTCGGCCGACCCTGCAAACCACAAATCATTTTAGTGCCGCTCAAATATGCCAGTTAACTTTGTATTTCTTGCTTACAATACAATATGAGGTGTATAACTTTATTGTTTTGAGTTGTTAAAGTACTGAGCTATATTATTACGGTTGAATATCATTATCTAGTAATTTAGTACAACAGTTCAATATTTTCAATGTTTTAAAATATTTTTCCTGTCTACTCTGTATTTATTACAAACACACATACGAATACGATACTTAATAATCTATTTGACAGTGTAATATACCACTTAACTAGTACAGTACAAAATATTGAGGCTGTGGGAATTTAATTTCCATAGCATATGTTGATAGGTGGCCATGTTGGCAACAAATATAGTAAATTGATTATAATAAAACTTTAATGTTATTAATAAAGCTGTAATTTATTAACATTAGAATTATTATCGTTGCTAAATATATGGCGAATATACTGTACTACTGCAATGCAAATTTATATGTCAATATTTGAGTATAAATTATGCTCAATTAAGCTTAATTAATCAATCAATCGAATCTAATTTAATCAGACTGAAATAATTTACTATATATATATTTTTAATTGTCTGCTATTATTGTTACTTCTGTCAATATTAAAAAAATAAATGTATAAATAAGACATAATAAAAAGAGGAGATGAGAATTTGCTAAGAATGTAGCTTTTGTAACATCAAGACAAGTAGTTTAGTACACAGCTAGTTTTTATATAAGTTACGATACAAGAATCATCTATCTCTATCTATTTAAGTATTTTCATTACCTTTCTTTATATTGATCAATTGTACTATACCTGAAAGTAATATACACACGAAGTGTTCGGTGGTAGCGAGTGTCGTGGGTTTCTTAATACTCCACTCGTTTTGTCTGAGGAGCGCAAAACAAAACGACACCGTCCGTCGGGACGCACGTACGAATGTGAATCTTTGTCTACGTACAGCACCTGAGGAAAATGTATTTCACATCAAACAAACCTGTACTAGCAAAACGGTTCCGTGAATCAGGGTCGTATTCATACGCGGAATTGCTTGATGCAAATTGTAGGGCAGGAGACGGGGACTGTAATTTTTACTTGCTTACCAATAACTTTGATTTTTTCAAAAACCAGTACATGTCAATGTGTTTTGCTATTTTACCCGACTGCTAAATAGTTATTGTATTGTATATTGTATATAAATTGTTTTTTTCACAATATAATAAGAGTATGATGTATCTATTGTTAGCATAGTACAGGCTAACCTCTACGCAATTTCCCCTGAAAACTAATATGGTTAATTCCTGATGAATTAATCACAAAAGGTCAATTGAGCTAATTTTAACCTTACTAATCATTCCTCACTGGTATTTCGTCAGCATAAATCAACTGCGTAGACGGAATACCATTCAATTTCATACAGAAATAAAAACTGTTTAATGACTTTAAGAAATTTTCTTTTCTAGAAGCATTAAAATAACTTTAAGTGTTTTTTTTTTTGCCAACTGAATACCTGCGAGGCGGTAAGATAACGATGCTTATTATCTGGACCACAATAGCCGCTTACCGTCAAGCAGGTATGAGCATTTTAGCCAGTTATGTACGAAAAAGATTTCTGTCATACTAAAAACTAATGTGTCTAATATAGTTCGATATATTATTAGATTATTTAACTACTAGTTTCAATTTGGAATGTATTTTTCATTTCTGAACTATTTAAGCAAACTACTCGATTTAATTTATCGATGAACATATACGATTAACAAATAATATGAGATAAATGTTTCTAATGGAAAAAAATTAAATAGTTAAAGATAAAAAATTTCCTTAAGATCACTGCCAGCTGGTAGGAGACTTGCTGCATTTCCACGCTGAATAGCTATGGAAATTCAATGACCAAAGTATAGGCTAGCCTTCTGGTCGCCAGAGGTTTCTACCAGCCGGCGTGAAATCTCTTTGAAAAGAATACTACTCGATTGACTTGATACTAGGTATATATGCGGACAATAAAAATATATAAACATATTACGTGGAAATAATATATGGATTTTCATATAACTTAGAATAAAGTTGTAACAAAATATATAATTTCCGCGAATATTATTCGTTCGTTATTTACGAGTATGTATATTGAGTTAATAATATTCTAGATGCTTCTTATTCCAAGAAATAAAAGGGTTAAAGTCTTAAACGTAATAATGAAGTCGTAGAAATATCATCTTATCTTTTTTTTATAAATAAAACTTATTTGTTGAGAACATACGATATATTTGAGACATGAAGGGGTGGTCCATTTTATGCCATGTGGTCTCGACTAAGTGAACTTAATAGTCGAGGGATGGGCAGCAGCGTCCCTCTTTAAAATTCACCAAACCCCAATTGCGGTTGCCAACCCATCTGCCAAGCATGGCAACTACTGGCAATGACCCTCAATAAGGGTAGGCCTATGTGTTAATGGCTGATATGAATTGAACAAATGAATTATGAAACATTAAATTGTATTCAAAGAATTCTTTTTTGACTTACTATGAAATGGCTTCTAGAAATTTCTACTAAATAACAGATAACGAGTTTGAAGAGAGCGAAACTGCGAGGTCTTTCTACATCATGAATATATTTAAGAGCAACACTGTGCCATAAATTAGAAAAAGTAACATTTTTTGTTCCGCCATCCATTCCCAGAACAATAATATGTTTTATTCACGAAACAAAATGAGGTGACCGTGTGTTTATTTACTAAGCAAGACAAGGAAATTTTATAATATGAAAAAATGAATAAAAGACAAAATATTGAGGAAAATAAATATTTTATCTAAATAAAACCTTCACTCACAATATACTTTGTATCTTAAAAATCACTAATTACAATTTTAGTACATAATGTCAATTAAAAATAAGCAATTTTTACCAAAACATTAAATTCGTAAGAACTACTATCCAGATTTTAGTGAATTAAGATGAATGTATGATAATGGGATGGTAACATCGCCTACGTTATCGGTATATACTGGGGAGTACCAGTGAGGGATGATAAGTGAATATGAAACAGGTCAGTTAGCCCATCGTGACAAATTCACCAATGAATCAAACACAATGGCTTCCGGAGGGAACTGCGAGGAGGTCGACGTGATAGGGTATATTTCTAGTAATAGGGTTGCCAATCCCTGTTACTAATAATTCCTTTAAGTGAATTAAGTTTAGAAATTAAAATTTCTATTTTATACTCGTAATTATCAACAAAGAGTATTAAATTATTAAAAAATATTTCCATTCTTATTATGATTATCCTTTTATTTACTTCTGGCATCGAAAATTGTATCAAAATTTGTAAATAAACTTACAACATTATAAATTCACAAATAGAATAAAATAATGGGAAAGCTTGTAATGATGAAATAAGTCCAAATACAGTGTATTATTAAACTACTACATTAAAATACGAACCTGTACTTCCAGTTCAAATCCAGGAAGGTAGCTCAGAGGAACTGGGTGGAAAGGATTATCGTATGGTGATGTATGAAACTCCAGTAGCATGTTGGGACCTCGACTGATGATATCCGGGACAGCATCTCCACCACAAAGGCGCACCAATACCGGTGATTCCCGCGTAGCACCATCCCAAACTGTCAGATAATCTTGCACTACGTTGCATTGGTCCCATATCCTAAATGAAATGTTTGTTGTAATTAAATTTCAGTAAATTCTCTATCGTGATAACATTAAAATATTACCAGAGGTTTTACAAAGTTTTCAGTAATATATCGAATTGAATAATATAGCTAAGTTTTTTTTATTTTTTTATTTCAAATGTATTGAGAATAGTAAACAAGTTAACGACTTATACGATGAAAAAAGTTTATTTAAATAACCATATCGCCATAATGAAAAACGGTTATTGCAATGGTGGCAAACAAAATCAGTTGAGAATTGGCAAAGATATATAAATAATATATAAAATAAAATACGGTTGAATTGAAAACCTCTGTTCAGAACCTCTGGTTTTCGAATTTCCGTCATTAAATAACACATATTTATTTAGTAATTTAAGCTTTCAGCTACATTTTATGACATTAATAACACAGACTTACTTTAACACACGTTGACTTCTATCGTACTTTACTATTTGGTCTTTGATATGTATTTTATGGCTGTTTGTCTGCCTCACTATTAGTAAAACATGTTTATCCGCTGGTATCTGAAAAAAAGGCATCAAATAAATTCGGCCTTAACACTCTACTTTTATGCTACCTTTCCGTAAACCGCGTAACTCATACCCATACTACATTTGCGTGTTTGAATTATTTACATTGTAGGCGAATCTAGCGTGCAGTTTAGTGTGAATTTCAAATTAAATATGAATTGGAACAGCCACGACAACCACATTAATCTCGTGAAACAAACATCTCCTGTTTCAACATTAATTGTTACATCATTTGGTGGTAGCGTTATGAGAATTTTAAACAGTGGATTATCAACAAACAATGTAATTAAATTTACAATAAATGATACTCAACAATTTATACAAACAGTTTATAAAATTTGTATTCTTAGTGGATTGATTCATAAATTAATAACTTTATTATTACAACGAGATTTTTTCTCACATTATGTACATTAATTTTGAAAATTAACTTGGACGTTCGTGTTTCCTCATAATTTAAAATAGTTAAATAGATTTTAACGTGGTTCATTTAAAGTATCTATTTAAAAATGAGCCCAACTTATATATTGGTGTAAGTTTTATCACAAATGGTCGATTTAATTGTAAAATATAGCTTGAAATATTTAATGTACGAAGCTGCTATTAACAAAGAAATATTTTAAATGAAATCTTATTAAATCAAATAATAATCTACCAATATAGTAAATTAAATAGTAATTAAGTTAATTTTTACAACCAAATTAATATGATTTATTGTAATAATATAGTATAAGTAGTATTTATTATCAATATTACCTTAGTATGCTCAATGCGGTATGTACAAGTAGCATTTCTCGGATAGACACCAGGGAAGTTAGGTGACTGAATGCGACACGCACGTAGATCGCAGTCACTCAGTATGCGGTCACAGTATGTCCCTGGTACCCGTTCTCCCCTCCACGCCCCCACTGTCGCGTTTCCATACCGCAACCGCGCTTCACTCCGTCTTAGAAACTTGTAAGCCAACTTGAAGTCGAAATTGTATCCCACACCCTGCAACCAAATAGGGCTGTCACTCAAAATATTACTCCCAGTTTAATGTATGCGAAATTAAAGGGTACTGTTTGGTGGAATTGGAATAAAAGTTGGCCTGACTCAATTAGGGTAATAATTATAAAGTTAAGCTGCCTTTTCATTGTAATTATACACCAATAATACTATAAAAATGCTAATTATGTATTTATTCAATTAATTTTAATTTGGAGACTTTAATATGCATTTCTAATTACCCTAACTAGGGTGATTATATTTTAATTTAGCAATCACCTCATCGTCTGTGAGCATAAAAGAAAAATTTAAATTACTGTAAAAACGCGAATTCCTTTTATCGAGGTATGGAAGCGTTCAGTAATAACATCCATTATTGTAATTGCACCTTATCCAGGGTCCCGAGAGGGTGTCCGTAATCGTCGTTTAATTAATTGATCGAAAGTTCAACCCTTGGTGCACATAATACGGCTGCTAACAGAAGATAAAGGAAAGGCACCGACCCGTTAAAAGCGGGGTGATGTGAAATATTAGTCAAGTCACAGGCGAAAACATGTAGTTAGTTACGTCACGTCAGAATACAAAGGGATGCTTAGTAAGTGACTCTTAATGAAGATAAATATATTGTTGTTCATTTATACAGATTAACTTTGCTGTGTGCAAAAACTCCTAATTAAACATGTCAGATTCCGATGTTAACAAATCACGGATGAGAGAAATTAAGATTCGTTATTTTATGCCGACACGTTTGTGAATTATTAAACTACAGAACAAAGGAATAGTACAACGTTAATAACTTTCGTTGCCGCTACGAATTACGGTTTAAATTGAACACGCAATGAAAACTATCCGGACGTTCTATCAAAATCAATATGCTTTTACAATCACACAGTAAAATTGGAATATAATTTTAACATTTTAATAACGTTTCTAAAACAACTACGCTTTTTTTGTTAAAAGTTTCGTAAGCACACATTATATTTTAATGGCAGGCTAGCGCTCATGTCACTGCCGTTCGTGATTAAGGATCACAAAATGATTCCGAAACTAGTCGAGATTTTTTGATCTAATTACACGTAAGTTAAACCGGTTGTTATTGTATTATTTTTACGCTTTTTAAACATTTAATGAAATAAGCCTAATTACCTTATACGCGTAATACTCCTGGTATTGCAAGTGTTCATAGTCTACGGTAACTGCTTACCATCAGGTGGCCCATATGCTTATTTACCACCTTAATGATATAAATAAAAACATACATTTTATAAATAAAAAATATCTTATTTTGTTTACAATAACAGTAGTAATAATCAATCTAGCAATTCACCTGATAGAAAGATGATAATCGCCTCGCATGTGCTTACATTTTTATTGATATAAAATAAAAACTATATCAACTAAGATATTAATTATTTCATTTCTATATTACGCTACACAGAATAGTTATTTTCATGACACGAAGGTGACAAATAAGGGACACACCTTCCAGAGGCATCGCTCGGGCGTTGCTGACTATACCGACCCTTGTGATTTGCAGTTACGGTACTCAGTAATTTCACTGTCCTATACCCCGGAACACAGCTATGCTTAGCGCCCGAAATAGGTAACGAGGTACCCATGCAAATGACTTTGTGCAAAAGCCTCCCTTTAGCAAACATATTATTATTATGACTCCATATTCATACTAGACGGAGAATATATACTGTTATTAAAATTAAACACTCACCTGTTGGCTCAATCTATCTAATCTGAGTGTCATGTTAATAGAGTCGGATTCACTAAAATATACGGTGTACCCCCACGCAGACCCACACCACTGTCCAGTGGGGGGCGATGGACTTCTTTCTACTATAGTCATGTGTCCATCCGGACACCCATCTGATGTGAACGACACAAATTTGCCCACGGTGAAAGTGTCGAATGTCAACTGAAACAATAACAACATTTTAAATGACTTAAAAATAAAAAAAAAATCTATCTCAATCGAGAGTTATCCTTTATCAATTGTAAAAAGAGTCATCAAAGTGCAATTTTTTTTCAAATTTTACTATTCATTCCCAACGTTCAAAATCAGTAATTACACAGGTGAACCTTAGATAGTAGACTTAAGTAAAAGTATTCTTCTCTTTCGTAACAACTACCTTATAGATTTAACATACCAATCATCTGGTTCTATTTTACAGTATTTTTTTTTAAATCGCTTGCTAATTTCCATACATTTTGGCTCTGTATTTTAATTATATTTACAAAATATTTTTTTTAAGTCATTGTATAGTATTTATTTAGTTTTATTCATTATTTTTTCCTTATATGGAATGCGTCGGATATTTAATACTTATAATGCGATTACTACGCGAATATTATATTTATATATAGTTATAGAGCTTTGTGTATACACTAAAGTTGTGAAAAAATTTCGTCAAATAACATAGACATAAAAACACATTAAAATTAAGAATCCCGTCTATATTTTAGATATTTTGATTATTTACCCTTATATCAAATTTCATTCAGTCGTTAAGGCATGTTTGAGTAAAAAATATATAAACATACTTGTATTTAAAAAAAAATATATTTTATAATATTAAATTAGATATAGGAGCAAATTACTACTTTACAATAACATTAAAAACTAAATGAATATAATGAATTTTAAATTCAAAGTTCTTTACAGGCATCTAGTTAAAGATCTAGTATGATAGTTGATTTGAACAAAGGCAGTGCATCCAAGTGTAGCTTTATAATGAGATGCTTGTTCGTTGATTTTCCTTTTGTTCTTTTCCATTGTACACTTTGATATTTTATTGTAATATGAACCATAATAATATTACTATAAAAGAAAGGAAGAAAAGCTGTCAGTGTTCGTTGAGCTTTGTAATAAGAGAAGTTACAATTATTTCCTAGCGAAACAATCTCCCTGTCGTAAAGTAGTAAAAATATATATTTTACAAAATTCTAATATTGATTGATGTTCGCCTTTCTGCATAAAGTGGTAAATAGTAGCATGTAAAAATAGCACAAAAGTGTAAACAATAATAATATATTTGGACAATATACCCACTGCCTACTCCTCTCGTTCAAGCTGTCCTCACTCCCCCTTCTATCTCAAATGTAACTCAATTAGACCGTTCGAAAAAAGAACACACCGCACTGTGTAAACACATTTACATGTATACCAATACAATCTGGTTATCACGCCATTTTTGTATTCTTATAATACAAATTCCTTTAATGTTGATGTATGTATTTATTTAACACTTTATTGCACCAATATTACAGGAATGTTGAATAATTTTTAGATAAAATGTAATGTAGTTATATGCGCAATTTTGAACAATTTATGCCGCTATATGTAATTTTATCATTGCTAATTTTGTGTTGATCTTAAATATATAAACTTAATTTTCAAATTATATACAATTCAATATAAGATATACTTTTTTAAATAAAATAAAACAGAACAGAACAAACAATGTTTTGTATTTTATGTATTTATAAATCACCATATCGTCGTCATATTATCCATGTATAGAAACTACAACAGTGATAATACTAAGACAAAACTCCCCCAATATAATTAAATATACTCGTTAGTTCAATATAAAAGAAATTTGAAGAAAGAGAGTGAAAAAATATTTATTAATATACCTGTATTATATCTCCGTAATTGCCTCCAGGTGCCGTAAAATTAAGATGACATACGAATGGAAGATGGTCTTCACGTGGCCGTCGTACTTCTAATTCATATGTGCGGCCGACATCACCCATATATGTTCTATTACATGCTGGAAAAAACAAAAACGAAACATCAATTAAATATGCAACTTTAAAAAAAAATACTTAACTTTTAATTTACAGAAACTTCGTAGACGGTCAAGCATCATGAGTTAAGCTATAGACGTAGTATAGTATATGTACATACTAACAGACTGGCAGTACAATCATAAAAACGAAACAAATAAATATATACACTAGTGTGCGTGTTTAATAAATGTGTGCATGTGACAGGTCTGAATTTATGTGGAATTGAAAATGCAAATATGGCAAAAATTCATATATTTGAAATTATTTTTATTTCAGTTCGTTGACGTTCAGAACTTTATTTGGATTAATAATATATAACTCGTAGATTTTTTCTACCAATTAAAGAGAAAAATATTTACTGATCAATAATGTAAAAAATGTGTAATTACAGGTGTCTATATGCTACAGTAACCTTGAATTCTATTATACCAACCGTATACTTATTTGTAATCATTGTAGTATAAAAAATATTATTGTTTAATTTATATTTAAATATTTTCACATTTAGAAAACTAGTCTAGAAAAACTTACTAGATTTATAAAAATACATATCTACGAGTATCTATATCTTTGTAATATAATAATATATATTTTTAAAATATACTATTATAATATGTATTATATATACTCTACACATTTTTATGGGAGTCATGATAAATATCAACGTTATACCTGTACTATTGTTAATCCTTTCAACACAAAAATAAGGAAATGAGAAGGAAAAAGATCTGAATAAAGCGGGCACAATGGAGAGCGGCCATATTTTCACAACCTTTTTAAAAAAAGCCTTTTGTCTGTCCTGTCAGCGTATTACATAGCATAAGACAAGTGTTCATCCACCGTAAAATATTATTCTTTATTTTAATTGTAAGCCTTTGTTTCTTCGTTAAAATATATTTCGTTTTTATATCGAATTATTGTATTTTTAAACTCACATTTGTATTTTAATTATGTACTGTATGTGAGGTTTGTGCATGATAATATTTATACAAAAATTGTATGCGAATTATAATTATTTTTATAATTATTTATGTATTAATTTTTATTCACTACTTTATACAGACGAAAATCAATTTCATTAGCACCCTTTGAAGGAAGTGTAGAAATTTCAGTACAAACATATTCTGTGGCATTCACTCCTAACACATTCATCATCATCATATCTGCTGATCATAAGACCACCTCTATTGAAGAGTTTTACTAGCAGTTGCCACGTTTGGCAGATTGGTAACTGCAGTTAAGTTTTGATGATGTTTAAATAGAGACGTACTGTCTATCTCTCAACTATTAAGTTCTCTTATTTGTTGAGGGATGGACGTCTACGATATCCACGAGAAAGGAAGGGGTGGTCCATTCTATGACGGAACCACACATTGTTTACTGATCACATATTTATTGATTATTAAAATGTAATATGTTTTTATTTATTTATAGAATATATGTTACAATTTATTTGATTGGCAAAAATATAATATCAAACTACATACATTATGTACCAAAAATCTAAGTTCGTTATTCTCGTTCAATCAGTTGATTAGTTAGAACTTTTACGTAAGTAATTTTACTAAATACTAAAACACATCATGTGTTGCTATAATTAAATACTATGAAAACGAGTAGAGTAAACGGCACGAACAAAAGTATTTATTTAAGCGAACTTACTCTTAATTGAGGCGTCTTAGTGAAAACGCCATTAGGACTCGCTGAAGTTTTCCCAGAATGTGAACATAATTGTTCAAAACTAAGTCGGCGACGCTGTTTGAGGGATGCTAATAGGTGTCTGAGATGAAATGTACCGTGGTAATAATGATTGAATACTATTATTATTGATTTCACATCCTACATTTTGCATACCGCAACTGACCAATTGTATAGTGACAAATTTGCTTCTCTATCTTGCTTTTAATATATTTGTTTGTACAAAAAAATTAATATGCTACTTCGTACCTGTAAATTTCAGAAGTAGAAAATGAAAGAAATGGATCACTCCTAGATGGTGTATCAAAATAAAAAATACACCAAGTTTTTAGTTAAACTTTTAGGAATAAAATTGTGAAAACTGAATCAAATTTGGTGTAGTATTTTTTCTCAAATATTTAATTTTGGTAAGTGTTGCCAAAACAAACGTACACAGAGACAGATTTAAATAAAAGTTCTGAAAATACCTACACCGAGTACGTATCTGTTTAAATATATAAATATTATATATGCTATCAAAAATATTACTTGTCAGTACCACTGATAGGCGAGGAGATAGATGGATTGACACATGAATAATCTTGTAAAGAATTCGTGTTTCCTTTCGAGGAATCATAAAAAAATACTAAACACAAAATACAGCATAAAATATAAAATGAAGAAAAGAGAAACCGCAAATACGCATTCTTATAACAAATATTATTCGAGAATATAATAAACTGCTGTGTAGGTACTATTGTACACTTCTCATTGAAAGAGCTCAGAATCAAGATGAAAGTCTTAAATTTAAACATTTTCGAAATTTGCATCTTTAGTATTCGCCTCAAAGATGGCATGTTTATTGGCAATACAAAAATAAAAACAAACAATAAAATAATATTGTATGATTTACAAGTACAAGATTTACATTTGAAACTCAAATTATTACACTACTAAATGTTTAAATTTCGAATGTTGTGTTTTTAAATAAATTATTTTTTCGTTTGTCATTTGTTTATTAAAAAAATCAAAGTTGTCTTAGAATAGCTGACCTAAGAAATATTTAGCAATGATTTTTACGGGTACTTATTTTAATTCTCCATTTCTTCACAACACAAAAAATATTTGGATGGGGAACACCTTTTCGACATAGATACAATAAAAACTATTACAAAATTTAAACAATGGAATTTGTGTCGTAATTAGCTATTAAAAAAAGATATTAGGTCGGTATACATTTTATTTTTACTGTCTTAATATGTACTTATTTATACAATATAATTGTTACTATTGAAATCTATTTGCAATTTTTAAATTGCTACGATTTTATGGAAGTTACTTAATTGCATACAATATACTAATACTTATACATATTTAATATTTATAAAAATGTAACTTTATATTCAACTATTCAACTCTTGACATTAAGCTTTCGTGACAAATGCTAGTCCATTTTGTAAACACCGACACCGTAAACTTAACACCTTATTAAACGGAACGTGGGTTTTTTTGTTAATTACAGCTATATTTTGGGTTAATGACCACCTACGTGTGAACGATAAAGGAGGAGACTCGTTTTAGCAATAATTAAAGAGGTTCATTACTATACAGTTAACTGGTAGGTCTAGAATTAAATGGAATGGCCTTCTAAGTTTCTGTAGTCAATTATGTAACTTTATATTTATTTTACTTATTTATTACTAACTGTTATCCACGACTTTGTCTGCGTGACCTGTTTCCCTGTTTACTAACCTGAATAAACAGTATCCTATATTTTTTTCTATTAAATATAGTACGTGTATTGTACACATTACATAGTAATTGGCTAAATTGTTAAGACGCTATAAGGTAACAAACTTACATTCACAATTATAACATTAATAAGAATTATATGTCCATTGTCTGATTTTGATAATCCAATAATCTACCTATTAGTTAGTTAAAGTACTTTTACAAGCAAATGTATCGTATTTGTATTAATATTACAGTATAGGTTTATTGCATTCGAATAAAGATGTCGGCCTTTGGTGTCAAGAATTTCTAGACCGCATTCATTACACTCGTACTTTACAAGAAGACATCTGTCGTATTTTATGGAACAATAGCTTTATATGCACTCCAAAGCACAAAATAAATGACAATCACTTATAAATAATCCAAAACATAAATTTGAAAAATCAGAAGTTTAGGCTTAGGTATTTGTTCTTCAAATCCCAAACCACGGTCAAGTCAATTGTTCGATTAAATTCGTTATATTTTAATTATAGTATAGTTAAAATACAAAAATATTAAGATCCAAACTATTAGACCCATTGTTAGCACTGTACACTGTCAGTTCGGCCTCCACGCGGTTTCTCTTGGAACATCGTTATTAATTCATGTTGAATTAGTTACGATGGACTCACTGACCTACTTTCATGGTAACTTATAATCCTTCACTGTCCCCCCAAGCGTATACTGATAGCGTAGTCGAGGTTACCATTCTATTATCATTCCATAAAAAAAAAATACTATGAAGAATTGTAGTATATATAACCCTAAAATGTCCCGGTATCATTCAATCGATTCTTAGAAAATGTTCGAGGATAACACCACTCAGCAAATTCCCCTCCTCTCATAGCTTACAAATGAGCAATTTCCATTCCATCTAAACCGTCCTTACACGTGATTTTCTCCGATAAATGTATTTGATGGAGTTATGTGAGTCAGTTCTTTTTTACGGAAATTTAAGTTTGTAAAATCAATATTGTTTTCATACTGAAAGTATATTTTTGCTGATATTAGACAATATTGGTGTTAGATTATTTTGATTAATGATCAAATTAAAATACCAATCTAGGTATGAAATGTTAGTTATTTTTACAAAAAAACCTATTTTATTTACAATATATTAGCGTTACGACTACAATATACATTTCAAAAATCTACAATTATAAATTCGAGAAAATCAGACGTGAAACATTACAAATCATTACTCAAAACATAGGTAAATTATAAACAGTTTTAGAACTACTTATTAAAAAAACAAATAATTAAGTTTTTTTTTTTAATAAAATAGCCAATATTCGATATAATTTTTTTAAGGATGTTTTTTTAACAGTTGCTACAGATCTGTATAGAGGTTTCATTCAAATGCGCTTTCTCTAATCGCATTACTTTCAACTAAATATATATCTATTTCATCAAATATGCTTTAAAAATAAATCTGTTCTTTATTTTTTTTTTCTGCCATACCCAACTCTCACTACCATACATCAATGTCTCCACCAAAATGTCAGTGATACATGAGTTTACTTATGATGTACATTTCATCATTTTTTTAATTAACATTTTGCAATGAAGCCTCCAATTTAATTATAGAATATTTAACATTAATATATTTAAGATAGATTTATGTAATAATTAGTTTGAAAGGTGAGATATGGCAGTGAATTTACAGAGTACAAAGGAATAACACCTGAGCCTTCAGAAATGACAACGAATGGGGATATCATGACCGAAAGATTATACTCTGTTATGTGCATGGTACAGCTCATGTCTATAGGCGATGGTTACTACTTTCTATCAGGTGGACCATCAGCTTGTTTGCTATTCTAAATCACATAAAAAAAATCATTTAGACCATTTCAGCGTCATTTATTTTTTTTATAAATATAATTATATATTTATAGAGAGCAAACGAGCATACGGTCCAATTCATGTGTGATAACGTTAAAGTGATTACCACCGCCCATGAGTACCCGCAACACTAGAGGAATTACAGACGTGCTGCTAGTTTTTAAAAAAGGAGTATGCTCTTAGTTTGATTGTTACGATATAAGTAACAAATAACCAAGTTACCATTTTAAAAAGAAAATCATGGTTATAATATTATTATAGTATTTGGAGGCTAGAACTCAATCCATCATACTTCACGCTTTTTAGATAGTCGAGATTATTGTAAAGATGTTTGTATATTTAAACATCCAAAGATACAAACAATAAATATATAACATTTGTTACTCAGTCGCGCTTTAACAGATGAACGGATTAAAATAAAATTTGATACAATAATAAACCATATCGTCATGGTCGTAGAATACTGACGGATCTGACAAATATTACATATATAGATCCGTCAGTATTCTACGACTATAACGATATACTAACTTTATGCATAGGGTACAATTTATCATAATCCACAAGAGCAAAGACATAGCAAACCGCTAGTAATACATTAAATCTGATTAAATCTTATATTCTTATTTTTAAGTCATCCAAATGAAAAGAATCACTTAATAAACACTTATGTTAACAGTACTAAAATGGTAAGGTTCTAAGACGTAAATAATAATAAAATAACTTACATCATCAAATTTACCATCTTTGCGTATTTTGTTCTTCTATGTTCCTTGAGAGAGGAAAAATTGTGGAAACTGAGTGTAATCTGGTTCTTTCAATCCCTTTGTGAGGACATCCTAGAGGTCTTTTGTGTAAGACAATTATCGTTCCGGACTTTTTCAGCGTAAAAACGTATTTACGAGTAGCGAGAATGGTTGGGGAGACTGATTAAAGCATGGTTTCGGTACGCCTTGATTAGCTGTGCGTGTATCTAATGTTTGAATTACTTTGGTAGCAGATTCATATAGGCCATGACTACACTGTATTTTCTGACAAAACTTTTCTTAGAAAATTATAAGACAAAAACCTTTCAAATCGATTTTTTTAATAAATTTTGAAAAGACAATTTTGTAACAAATATAAAATGTACACTCAACGGGAATTAAAAGCTTTATTGGCACATTAGTATCATGGTTTTGACATTTTTTATGGTGTTCGTATTAGAAAAAATCTTCCAAAGAAATTCCAAAAAATGATAAAAAAATTAGCTAAAAATATTGCTACTATGGACTGATATGGACTGTAACAATGCTTTACATATATAAATGCATAAGTGACTATGATGATCAGCGCTTATCACTACAAACACAATTTACCATCAGAAGACTGTATCGTCATCATCATCATATCATGTAACTGAAAATTTTAACCTTATATTTACACGGGAGATAAACGGAATATATATTACCAGAGAGAGACTTTGTACAAAAGTCGTTTGCTTGGGTACCTCTGTCTCATTCGTGTTTCAACCGTAAAGCAGTTATGTTTGCATGGCTGTGTTTCGGTTTGAAGGGTGAGATTGGCGTAAATTTACAGGGTACAGAGGAATAACATCTGAGTCCTCAGGAATGGCAACGCATGGAGGGTATCATGGGCGAAACAGTATACTCTATTATGTCCATGGTACTGATCATGTCTGTAAGCGATGGTTACCACTTTCAATAAGGTGGGCCGTCAGCTTGTTTGCCATTCTAAGTTGTAGAAAAAAAAACTACAAATAAAAACTGTTACACCACAAAACAATAAATCTTATTTTCAAATTCAAACTCTAATCAAGAAACTCAGCAGACTCATCTTACTTCTACTTAATCATTGTTAACATTATCTGTATTTATTTTAATGTACTATATTTAAAACTACATGGTCATTAAAAATTCTGTGCATGATTTACTAATACCATGTACATTTGTCGTCTAAAATATTTTAAATTCTCCTTTATAATTATATTTATAATTTCAAATTAAATCCTTAACTACTCAAACTAAAAATAATTTTATTGCAAAGACAACTTACATTTGCAAATAAATTACATTATATACTCAGAAGTAATCGAAATATTAAATTACTTGGCACAACCATGTAGATACACGTACCTATTTTGCGTCCTAAAATTTCCATTTTCTATCAAGTATCTAACCACAGAATCCACTAGCAAGTTGGTATTTACCCGATTACGTAAATCCATAAACATCTAGTATAATATGTTTTGGCCGAGTCCCGGCATAACTTCGGGGGATGAATATTACATAAAAGGCAAAGGAAGCCAACTATGTCCACCGCTGACACAGCTACTCGGCTGCCATGCCCCGCTCCAGGGTGAAGCCATCAAACGAGCGGACAATCTCACTTTTACGACGCTAGTAGATATATTTTCAACTATATAGACTCTTAAACTATATATTCTAAAAATATCGTATTACAATTTAGAACTTGCGCGAATAAATATTTTACTTTTATCTTTCCTAATATTATAAATGTGAACATGAGATTGTTTCTTTATTACCTTTTAGCGCCATAATATCTTAACTGATCGCCATGGAATTGGTGATATACAAACTTCATAGCGAGTAAAATTGTACGTACCATCTGGTCTAGAGAAGGATATAAGCTACTTTTTATCTCGATTAATGAATATAAATCAATCACGTGAACGAAGTCGCAGCTGAAAGCTGGCACTGCTACGCATCAAGTCATTATTTTAATTAAACTAGGTAATAATAAATCTATTTGAAAATGAATAATGAGTATATTATAATTTTAATCGTATCTGTAAAATGCATTACAGATTTATATTTAAAATACCATTCAAACAAATATCACACTTTATTTTGCTTTTACGCATTTTACTGATTTTCACAATATTTTGTCAATTAACTATAAAATAAATTAACCGATTTTTTTTAATTTATTCAGATACTTTGTACTAAATACGGATAAATACAGTTACTTACGTTGCTGGTAAAAAAAATAGTAAAACTGTTTCAAAATTCTATTGATACGTATTCTGTATTATAGTTTGGGTATTAACTTAAAGGATTAAACGATATCAAAATAAAACTGGTCAGTGAGAGTTGAACTCACACACCAATAATTCTATACATACCTAAATACAAAACAAAATGACCTTAATTTCACATTTCCACACGAAATATATATCTAATAGTTTAATTCAACCGTAAAGTTTTTTGCATGGCTGTGTTTCGGTTTGAAGGGTGGGATATGGCGTGAATTTACTGGGTACAGAGGAATAACACCTGAGTCCTCAGGAATGGCAACGCATGGGGGGTATCATGGGCGAAACAGTATACTCTGTTATGTCCATGGTAGTGCTCATGTTTATAGGCGACGGTTACCACGTTCAGGTGGGCCGTCAGCTTGTTTGCCATTCTAAATTGTATAAAAAAAACTATATTTTATATATTTACAAATTAATAAAATACAATCAACATGTATTTTTTATTTTATTTTAATACTTTATTGTACACATTAGTTATAAAAACATGACAGAGGTACAAAGGTGAAACTCTGGTAAAAAACACAAAATCAACATTGTATAATTTTTAGTTGATTTTAGTTTCGTATAAACATTTAAATATTTGGATTATCTCGTTTTATTTTTTACTTAGGTACATTTTATAACAGATACTCGTATTTTATTTCATTTAAAAAAATCCTTATTCTAAATAAAATTCGCCTCGCGGTTTTATTGCCTGCTGTTTTATGGCCTTGCCAGACCTAACCTCTGAGTACCTTTTTCTTTTGTGACAGATGTCAGCCAACCGAGAAGGGGAGACATATTAAAAATGCGTTTCAATGACCTAAAAACGACTCTTTCCCAGACATGAATGAGCTGTCCATTTTCTTGTTAAAAAGGGATTATAGGGATATTATGTACCTATACAATATCCATTTGGACATTTACATTGTACGTATATGAGGATATATTACAGTACTTCGTTATTACATACAAACATGTACCATAAAATCGTATCGATTATACGATTTTATGGTACATGTTGTATCGTACGAAATATATTATAAATATTATTTGTATTTTTTTTTTTAATTTATTCGATGAGAAGTATTAAATATGTATAACTTTAACATGACATTCGTACAAACTGTCATTGTACAAACTACTTATTATATTATATATTGTAGTTCATATAGTTCCAGTAGATACATATATCCATATCAAGGAATAATCTATATCCTGTATACCATGTTTTATTCAGATTCGTTTAACTATTTGAAAAAAGATTAAGTAAATTAAAATATAATGCACAGGATATGGTTAAATATTTGGTGTGTGTTTGTGTGTGGGTGTGTGTTTGTGTGTATGCGAGCATGCGTGCGTGTCTGCTTGTGAGTGTGAGAGCGTGCGTGCAAATATATAATAGGTACTTACGTGTGCACGATTTGGGTTCATCGCTCTTGTCACCACAATCGTCCTCGCCATTACAATACTTGTCCAATGAAATACACTGCCCTGTATCACAAAGTAGTTCACTTAGTCTACATGGCCCCACAACGTTTCTTGTCATTTTCACTTTTTTCACTGGCACCACCATACCCAAATCTGACATCGTTTCGACACTGTCCTCATTTACAAATTCCTCACTCAGGTCCTGAGGACTACACAATTTCAGAGATAATAGCACAATAATGAACAGAAAGGTTCTATTACTAGTCACATTGTCGAATCTTTTTATGGAACACATTTTTGTAAGCCTTCAATTATTATGCAGGCTAATACATATGTCACAACATTTTACTTTGGCCGGTTAATCTATCGGTTTGGTACCTGCAACAAAGAGTTTCAAAATTAGATGATTTAGAAATTTTTAAATTAATATGAACTTATTAATAGAAATTATAATAGTATTTGTCCACACAGGCAAAAAGAAAATCGGTAACGTTTATTGAAAAAATAAATTACCAATACATAACTGTAATATCGATATTTTGAAATTAATTACGCATACAATAAAAATATACTATAACACCAATTCAGAAAAACGCACGAAAACTATATATAAGCATAGAAATAAATAAAAATAAGCACATAAAAAAGAAAGCTGTACATAAATCAACGCATACCCAAAATTACGAGAAATGAAAGTCTCAAATTTTCTATAGGCATTCCTTAGATAACGTAATATTGGCAAACAAATAATTTCTGGAAATTTCCAAAAATAACACGATTAATTGCGCACGATAATTTATAATAATAAGAAAAAACAATTTAAATTTAATCGTCGAAGGGAATTCATAAAATGTTTTCGTTAAATACACTTAATTAATTTTCGTAAAGTTTACAATTTGCTGAAACACTTCCCGTTATGATGAATCAAATCTACAATCCACAATTCAATCAACAAAGTTATCAAAATTACAAAGGGTAAATCACAAATTATGGTAAAATATACGAAACTCCATTGTATTTTGTACTGACGAAAATACTATAATCGATACCAGATAACATCTACGCTGTTCGTAAAAGTACTTTTGCTTTTATTTTGTTCCATTTTGAGTCTTATTTCACAAGATATAAAAGTATTTTCAATGTACAATATATATTACTGATTATCACGATTACAATATACCTACACTTAATATGATTGTATTTTCTGTTGACAAAGAAAAAGTATGTATAATGTAAGTACCTAATTCCTTTAATGGATACGATGCTACTGGTATAAATCACTTTTATAATATTAATAATATAATATAAACCAGTCTTATATTAATAAATAATAATACTGTGTTTTATATTACCATATTTATCAAGCAATGATTAAATTTTGTATTGTTTGTATCAAAAATAAATATAAGGGTTTATCTATGAGTCGACCATAGATAGTAATAACAGAAAATTTTATTGACAGTGCAATGTAAAAAACAATATTAAATCAAAACTATCATTCAGAAATAACATACGTTTAATACTTATATTCCCTATATTATGATTAATATTTTTTACATAAAATCATAATTTTAAATTATTTCAACTTAACTCTAACGTAATTTTCTTTAATATAAATTCATAATATATATCCAAAAATTAATCGTAACATAAGTAGTTTGTATAATTAACTAATTTATATTTCTTACTGCATAAGAAATTTTGCTAACGAAAAATTACGATTTTCATAAAACAATCTTATTCATTTAAAATTAATTATCATCGTTCTTTGCTTAAGTGCCTTTCCAATTAGTTGAGGAGGTTGGTAGTCGAGTCCTATTTTACAGTCTGTTTTAATATTCTGAATTTTAATAGATGTAATAACTCCATATATTTTGTACATAAATTTTGCATCTAAAATCTGACGATCAATTTAGGGTCCCTACATGAAGTCTATATTGTTTAAAGTTTACGATACAGTATTATAGATGCCAGTTTCGAAAAAGCTTATTGCAGGAGGGATTTGTTTACAGTAAACAGTTTTTGCAAGATTATTATGGTAAGTAGTTTAGTAATAATATATATGTATATTCATTTAGTTTTCATGTACATTTAAAATAGTTGAATCATAATTTTATCTATGCGTTGTTTTTGATTTTATTTCAACTTTAAATACTAATATGTATTTTTGAATAAAATCCTAAATATATTAAAATTAAATAATTCTCAACATGTTATAGAGTATAAACTTTGTGATTATAAATTGACTGAATTAGTTTTTATTAGATTAATACCCAAGAACCATACTATACCTAGTATTGAGTAAACAAACCAGTTTACTACTTAATAAACTAAAAAGCGCAGAACCAGATAGTATGACCTATTACTATATAGATAAACCAGCAAATTGCATCTCATTAAAATATAGAATTGCCCCAACTTGAGACAAGAGGCATGAATCACGAAAAACTATGAAATTTATGTTATTTTGTCCGCTGCGATATTCGTACTTATGTGACACTATGATTCTGTTCTACGTATAAAATGAGAATAATTTGTATTCCTTCGCAAATAAATAATATAAATTATTGTATATTATATACTATCTGTTTACACAAACTTATTTTCCTGAACATTATCTCTATAATCAACGATTGTCACTTTCCACCAGGTGGGCCATCAGCTTGTTTACCATTCTAAAATGCATAAAAAAATACAGACTATAAAATACAAAAACTGTATTATAAATCTATCCTATCCTGTTGCACCTGTGCAACATGATATGTACATATTTATGTAAATATTTGTTTATATGTATGTATGTATGTATATATGTTTGTATATCATCATCATCACCATATCAGCTTTTAACTGTCCACTGTTTAAATAAACATAAGTTTCCCCCTAGGGGGGATTTGCCAGTAGTTGCCACGCTTAGCAGGCGGATTGGTAACTGCAATTGGGCTTTGGAGATGTTTTAAGAGGAACGTTGCAGCCCATCCTTCGTCCTCCCTTAGTCGACTCTTACTACACCCACGGGAAAGGGGTGACCTATTCTACTCCGGGACCACACGGCAAATTTTGTATTGAGTAGTATATATACATAATACTTTGTCTTTTTTGTCTCAATATCCTCTACCCAAAGGTTGTCTGGAAGAGATAGCTTTGCGATAAGGTCGTCTTTTGTATCACTCCTCATTAAAATGTACTATATTTACTAATTTATAATTGGTGCAATAAAGTGTAAAATAAATAAATATTATAAATCTATCTTTTTTAAAACAGGTCTCGTAACAGGTGTAGGGAACTAAATGTTAAGGCTTCTATACTATATGAAAGGAACAATATATAATCATCTTTTTTTTAATCAATATATTGTGAATAACACTAACCGTTGTATTACTGTTTTTAGCATTCCGTAACCTTTAATTTTATATTTACATTTACAAATACAATAAACTTTTCCAGAATCATGAATATCAAAGTTCAACGTAGTGGCAAAAGTTTAAGTTCTGTTAAAGGTATAGCTAATGCGACTTTTGTGTAATGTCAACATGAACGATGCTTACAAACTTCAGTTTATAACTGTCTTTTCTGGTTTTAATTTGTTAGAAAATACAATAGTATTTATAATAAAGTTAATGTAAAATAAATTATTAAGGAAAAACAAAATAATAAATACCGATAAAGTTATGACAATGTGTCCTAAAATAAAATCGTTTTTTTACACTGACTGCTGAATTATTGTCAATTTAAACTATGTTATAAACAGAAAACAAATTAATCCCAGAAAGCCAATTTCACATCGTGTGAATTCAAATATTATCTCCGGAATGCGGCGTAGTCCAGCGCTACGTGTACCATAACAACAATTGTCGACTAATACCTCTAACTGGCGAAGGGAGGGAATTGCCAGTAATGCGGAGTACCAGTCCCATTGCTAGCAATGTACCCTATCAGGTCGCATTGCACGTGGTTCCTCCTGAAGACCACCGTACTGAATTCCAGGTGTATTCATCACCATGGGCTATCTGACCTGCATTTTAATTCGTATCTATCATCACTCACTGGTGCCCTACCAGTGTACACCGTTAGCGCAAGCGGTGTTACAATGCCATTATCATCCATTAAAAAAAATAGCTCTGACTACCCTATCAAGATTTAACGTAAAATGGTTGCGAGTCCCCAAATCTAAAGCAATATTAAGTAAGTACGTGGTTTTGAAACTAAATGCATTCCTACCTTCCACATCACAAATCAAACTTAAGTGCATATTCCGAAGCTAGTCGTAAATCAAGTTTACACGGAGGAACGTATATTAAATTTCTTTATATCTACGTAATCTACATACTTAAAGGTGCGTAATACGATTTATGTTCTCGGCAGATGTCAGGGAAGGCTAAATGTAACACTGCATCACCTGCTTACTAAAGATCAATACTTCCCGCTTGTCATTTCTTCTTGAACTTATGATATTTACACTGAATCTTATCCTTTACATTTTTTGTTTTAAATGCCTATCCCTCAAGCTATACCTATATAATACAATTTCGTCTAGGTAATATTTATATCCTTCCGTAGGTATACAAAAGCTTCAAGTTACTCAGCGAGCTATGGAGAGGGCTACATTCAAAATTTCTTTGCGTGATAAAATCTGAAATGAGGATATCCGCAAAAGAACCAAAATGACCAACGTAGCTCGAAGGATAAGCAAACTGAAGTAGAAACAGAGTGTCGCATAGCTTGAAGAACCTACTACTGATGAGAAAGAAAAGTTCTTCAGTGGCGACCCCGTACAGGCAAACTCAGTGTAGGATGGCCCCCACAAGATGGAGTAACGCCCTCAAATGCATTGCAAGAAGTCAGTAGATTCAGATAGCTCAAGATCGTTCGTTATGGCAATCTATGGCTGTATGGGGGGGGGGGCTATGCCTCCCCCATAGACTTCAGCAGTGGATAGATATAATAATGATGAAGAAGAATATGTTTATATATTTAAAAAGATACAACAGATATACAAGTATTATTTTATCACAAAAAAAAATCAAGTTGGGTTTTTTTACCTATTTATGATTTTAAAAATATTGATTCGATAGATTAAACTTAGTACAATCCATCACACTCTTTAAGCTACACATGTGTCGAGTAAAAGAGCCAGATTTAAATTTATATATCTACCCGAAAAATATTAAATTTAGAATAGCTAAAATTTAAAATGTCTTGAAAACTTGAAACAAAAAACAGTAAACAATCTGCTGTTCATTTAAATATAAGTAGAGAAAATTACTGGTAACACTATACCAAATAGTAGCCAAAGCCTCGTATTTTAGTAGATAAGGATTCTCATTAGAGCACCCTCATTCGTGGCGGACAGGCTAGTTTATACTTCATCACGATTT